CTACAAACCAATTCCTTCAGCTCTGAAAAATGCATCAGCTTCCTTTCCTCTGTTACAAATTTCCCCACTTTGCTCTTTGTTCAGTCCCTATCTTGTTTCTTACCTTTCCTCTTCCCCCCAGCTTTTCCTCTGAAGCAGCTGTGCCCTCTGTAGCTGGCATCTTGGGAGTTCGGATGTGTCTTAGGATCCCTTGCATGAAGTGCCACAGCCACTCCTTTGAAATACCGTGAAAGCCAGATGATCCTTCAACTAATCTGAACCTCGAAGGCTCTGGTAACACAGGTCATCAAGAAAGTGCACAGCTACATCACCAGGGACACCAGGGACAGGCAGAAGCCAAGATAAAAAATAAAAAATACCCCAAAATAAACACATACACACATACAAAAAGAGGTAGGGAACATAGTGAGAATAGAAAACAGAGAAGAAAGAAGAGATTAAGAAAAATAATGTAAGAGACTCATTGGCTTAAAAAAAAGATAACTTCTGCTGATAAATTGCAAGATCCTGTTTTGATTCATACTAACAGAATACTGGGAGTATGAACCTGTCCTCAGAAAAACAAAGCTAAAGTTCACTGTTTGTACTGAGACAGTTAGAAGAGCAACAATCAGCATTTAATTCCTGGCTTGTATTTCACATATGGATCCTGAATTCATGTTATGCAATTAAGCTCTGGGAAGACAAATTGGCATGGACTACTGGTTATTTCTTAAGACATCTATATCACTTCATTTCATTACAAAAATAATTCTTTAACAAAAAAAACTTAATAGCCTTTCTATAAACGTAATAAATATCTTTTGTATAATTTGTCATTTAAAGACCTCTAGTAATTTTGATCAGCTTAGCAGCCAAATTGCCAACCAGTCAAATAGTTTTACTTGTCTACAGTCCACCCAAACTGACATTTGGAGGACATGTTCTGGTAGTTACTGTTAAAATTATTTGTGTGGTGTTTATATACTATTTAAAAACAAAAGCAAAAAGTGGATCCACATTTGCTACTAAGTATTAACAGATGAATACTCGGGTCTCTCGTGCTGCTTAGAATTGCTCCAGAGTTCTCAGACAGAGAAATCAGGATTTCTTTTTCCTTTTTTTTAAATGTCAGGGTACATTTTCCCCTCCCCCTCTTTCTTTGCCTCCCAAAGACTCCTTTTTCCATACGTGTTTATGCCCTAATAAGAAAACCGGACATACTAGGGAAGACAGAGATGACAGAATATAAAAACACACAATCCCCCTCTTTGTCAGCCTTGCAGAAAGGCATTAAAAAGAAAAACAAAAATAACCCACCAGGACAAAGACTGAAGACAATAGAAGGACCTTTACAAATAGGGACCAGAGCAGAGAGACACAAGAAATTCAATGAGATCTTTAAAATGGATCAGTAAATAAAACACATGCAGGCATACACCTTTTATCCAAAAAGTCCTACAACACATGACAAAAATTAGGATACTCATGGAATACATCCAGAAAATCAGTAATCTCAGAACTCAATCAGCATCAATCTGGGCAGATAATTTCCTCCTTCTCCTCTCATATTCATTTCCCTCATCCTTTCTCACTAAACAAACCTTCAGCATAACATAACCAGGACTACGTATTCTAGATGTACACACACAATTCGCCAACCCCAAGTCTGAGTTTCCTCACATATTCTATATGTGTTTTGGAACACTTCAAACATGCAGTTATGTGAAGAGTGGTTAGTGTTTTAACTGCTGTTCCTGTCTTCATGCAAGAGTCTATTGCCTCACTGAGATTAGCGTAATACCACCAAGTGCTGAAAATGAGGAAAAGGGGGGGGGGAAAGTTCATTCATGAATTCTTCTGTTTCTGCCTCATTGAGGTTAGACGTATCATGAAGATGACTCTGGTCCTGCACAAACATACATCTGCATTAGTGGAAGTAGAGCTTCCTTTAAGCGACTGACTTACAGAACTGCCAAGAGCTTTCGGCCAGGCAGCAATGTTTAATTTCATTTCTCCATTTGTATTTTTAATCTTGGAAACAAAAACAGAAATGTAAAGCATGCTGACAAAAGAAAACAACCCCACAATTCTAGAAAGCCCTGCTATTTCCCTGCCAGGCCAAAACACCTGCTACTGCTAATGATGGCTTTATGCTTACATACACCTGCCATCCAGAAGGGCTTCAGAGCACTCTGCAGCCTGATTTATATGTACACAAATCATTAAAACCACCAAAATTGAGCCACTGCTGGGTGAGATGTAGCAACTGTTTAACTGCACACAGCTACTCTGTCCAAGGCTCAGGACATGAACTATGAGACATCATATCCAACCAAAGCTACAGGGAGAATGTTAGGTAGACAGAACATCATTGCCCAATCTGGATTTCAGCCAATCGCTACTTAAAATATTTGCACGTGGAAAGCCCTAGGATCTTTACAGAACACATGCAGGGCAACCTTTGGCTTTATAAATGATCCAAAAGACAAACAATATAAATTTCCTCTATCTGAAATCCTCCTTTAGCAGACCCTCCCTGTACTAATTGCTGATTATGCCTTAACTTCAGAAGCTTACAGTATCCACCATCAGTTATGGAAACATCCTGTGGTAGAAGCACTTGATCTTGCAGAGCCAGCAAATTGATAGGGTCTGGCAATAAATGAAGATGATTTTTAAAAATATAAAAGGAATTTACAAAACACATACACACGAGTGCATCAGTTCCTCCCCACACATACCCCCAGCCAAAACAAATGAATTTTTCAACTGATCCTAAAACAGCTACAAAACCCAAGAGAGTAATGGAGCTGACACACTGGCAAGCTGAGGGGGATAGATATAGCACCGCTTTCTAAACTGCTCCTAGCATGGACAATGCCAAATTAACAGCTGCAAAGTCAATGCAGTGGAATGAAATAGGTGTCACCACACGTAACAAGAAGGTAAAAAGGCACTGGGAACAGGTTAAAAAGATGAGGAAACCTTGCACCCAAAAATGCCAAGAGAAGTTTAATATTCTGGGCATTTAGGTACAAATTTGCAGTCTCAAATATGCAGAACAGAGAGAGTAACATTTTGGAAATGGAAATGTTCATCAGAAAATCTCATCATATTATCAGCAAACCACTGAGGATAACAATCTTTTTTCTAAGGTAATTAAAAAAAAACCCTAAAATCTGATCAAGAGATCAGGGCACCTTTCACTAAGACCTCTTCCAGAGGTCTCCCTACTTGAAGAAGTAACTTTATTTTAAGCCTAGAAAATGAAAATTCAATTCTCAAGAGTAAATACAGAGAAGTTTCAAACACATCTGCCTCTGAATCATCCTGAAAATGCAATTTCATTTTCATGCTTTTAAAATTGTTTCTCTTGGAAATTTTTGTACAGTGCTCCTTAAAATCAGTTTTTTCTTCAGTTACAGGTAAGTACATTAAGAATTGTAACAATACACAGTTAAAAAACCCCAGCTTAAAAACATAATTTAAAACTAAAAATACACCTCTCTGATGTGAAGAGTTATTAGATTCATAAATGGGAACAGAAAGCCTAACTGTGTTTCATTCTGTTTTATCTAAACACAGCATAATTCTCAAGTACTTGCTGGGCTACCTTGAATGAGTTGCTTAAGATAATGAGTGGAAAAGTGTTTCTAACTGAAATAAACAAGGAAAAAAAGAAAAAAAAAAGGCAAAAAACGTATCAAAACATTTTTACATGAAGCATCAGGCAATTTGCTAAACTAAGCTGTATATCCAGCTCAGAGAGACAGGTTTAAAACAGAGGTTACCTACATGTTTTCTACATTCTTAGAAATCTCTTATCATTGCAGAAGAACTATCAGCCTTTATCAAGGTTATGATAACGTATTTCCATTTTCTTCCAGAAATAATTATGCTACACCTTTGCACCTTCAGGCAAGTTGTTACAAACCCTCTAGAAAAATCCTGAGTCTGCGAAACCATGCTGGCTTCCCTATTGCTGAAGCACACAGACTCTGGTTTTGGTCCAAAAAAATGACGATATTAAGGAAAGTACCTAACGCCACTCTCTCCTTTCCAAGAAATAATAGTAGAATACAAAGAAACAGGTAAGTCAGGTACCTCACAGGAGCAATACTGTAGTACTTGAAAAGAAAAACACCCCCCTATCCCAAAAAAAGAAGAAACCCACAGTTTTCAGAATAAACCATTTAAGAAAGCAAAAAGCATAACGGTACACGTGACTATGTTATTTCAGTTTTGCCACCCAGTCAAGAAAAAAGACTTTTTATAAAAATCAAATGCCATTAGTGGTACAAGAGAGTGCACAAATTCAAGGCTGTTCTTCCCATCTAGGACACTGGTACCAAGAGCAGTTCAGAGATGAACAAAACAGCATATTCTCTACCAAGTCTCTGCAAGAGCGTAGTGTCGCTCGCAAAATACAGGATTATTTCTCACCGTTCAAATCAAGATTCACCTCAAGACAATTCTATCTTCTAACACAAAGAAAAGTTACAGACCGAGATAGAAAACAAAACAATTTGCTGCAGCTTAACCTTTAACACTCTCAGCAGCATCTCCTTCAGTCGCTATCTTCATCATCATTTTCGAAGCAGTTGACGCAGTTTTCGGAGAATGTGCACACATGCACACACCCAAAGAAAACCCCTTACATGTGTCTCTTCTCAACCCGAGAGAAGATCACGGATGCTTCTCACACAGCATTTCCCATTAGGGTGAGTGGGAAAATAAGGGACTATTTGAAGACAGGCTGCTAAAGGACCACCATGTGAGATAAAACCAATCTAGTGTCCTGGAGAGAAGAGACACTTACCTCGTTTGTGAAGCCACCCTTCCTTCACTATTGCTACTTCATTCATAATGGCAGGAATGTCTCTTGAAAAACCAGTTTATGCCAAAAGATCACTGTTGAAATTGCTGAAATCCCGCAGAAGGCTCCACAAAAGGGATGGGTTTGGGTTTTTTTCTGCTCTTCTCCTCTCAGCTATTTCTAAAAGGATCAAAAGAAGAGCACACCATCATTTTGAAGCATGTCACATGTGTACAGTAAGGGATACAACAGGGAGTAGATTTCATTACTGGTTTGGTGGTTTGGGAGGGTTTATTATTATTACAAATCCTAAATGAGGCCTAAATGAAGAGCTAACTTCACAAGAATTTTTACATCCCGGTGGGTGGAGGTACCAACACAGATGCTTGCTAAAGTCTTGCTTTTTCACTGAGCAGGCTGCTCATGGGCAGACTCACAATATCACCAGATGCTGTCCGGATTAGAGATTGACACCAGACCTTGCCCAGTAGGCCCCCATCTCTCTAACACCACTACACTCTTCATAACAATAAACATTCTGAGCTTTTGCAAAATCCAGTTTAAAATATCTCCTGGTAAGAACACTTCCAGAAACTCTTCTCTCTTCTGGAAACTTTCTTTACAGCACTTTACAGTGGTTCTTGGAGATACACCTCTGACAGTAAAAATTCCTAATACTCTGCTTCAGATTTTCCTACTTTCAATGGGACAACACAGGAACAGTGTAATCCTGCTAATCCAGCTCAATTTCCATAACTCTCAAAAAAATGTGTCTTCTCTACCTTTGATATTTGCAACTCCCACCTCTTCTAGAGAGGCGTACAAAGAATCTCAGATAAGCTCACATACCTTCCTGTTATCCTAAATCAACTCTTACAGCACTCTGATCAATTTTACTGCTCTTCTCTGAATGCACTGCCATTTGTTGATGTCTTTCTTGCAATGAAATACACCTTAGTACAATTTAGGATTTTTTACCCCTCTGCTTTATGAGATGAAGTTCCTATCTAAAATAGTCCAAAATTGCTCTATCTGATTGCAAATGTGTGTGGCTCATAGCTGACTACCACAGCAACATATTTTATGTTTCTCTCCCTCATTGAAAGTAATCTCTTCCCAAATGCATTAGTTTTTATTATTTTTCTAAATTGAATCTGATTATTTTTCTGCATGTGGTACAAATGTTCTCAGTTTGTTTTTCTGTAATGACTTCTGTGCTCTCCAAAGTGTCCACACCACCATTCAATTTAGTATTACTTGGGTGATCAAAGAATGTAATCGGTGACAAATTCCCAGCAGTAACCACAAAGCTTAATAAGACAAGACTCAGCAGCATATGTAACTCACCAGCAAAGACCAGACTTTTACTGGAGTCTCTCTCCAGCCACAGACACATCACATACCCACCTAACAAATACATACCATCTCTGCATGCGTTTGGCACATGTGCACCAATTACCCCATAGCATGCAGGTGATGGCCATCCATCAAAAACTAGATTAAAAAGCAACTAATTCCCCATAACTCACTAAGACACAGCTGAATGGAGGAAACAGGTGGCTAAAACAAATCCAATCTAGAATTGAAACCCTAGCAAGGACATAGGGCTCTGCACCATACATCACCAGTGCTCTGATCTGGGAAGCCTTCAAAGTAAGGAGGTCAAACTTGCACAAGTTCCAACATTGCAAGCAGAAATGGACTAGGAGAAAGGAGGTCGCTCCCCTGATACTTTGCTTATGAACTTTCACTGTTTATTGCTATTCCTCAGCTTTTCTGATGACACTTTATTTTCTAGTTTTTCCCCAGAAACAAGCTGGGGGTTTTTTACCAAATTACAAATCTGCCGTATCTCATTGGTTGTAATTATCAACTCCAAGAAACAGATAAGATGTTTGCCTGAGGGAGAGAAAACAATCAAGAAATTACACTAGAAGAAGAAACATGTAAGAATTCCTTCATTTCATAAATACATATGAGAACACTTTATGCTGCAGAATGGAGACCAGTAACATAGAGCTGCCACAGTTATCCTGGAATAAACTCCCTTAAATCCAGAGCAATTAGGAGAGAACCTGATGGATACAGCAGGCTTTCGTTCTCCTTTCCAAACTACACACACAACAGCCATGCAAGCTAGACTTGCTTGTTGATATCAAGAGGAAAACAGACCTCATTTGCTTTGTTTAAGCATCAAGCACTTTGCAAAGTGTTGAACCAAACCCCTCAGATTCTCACAGCTTACATCTGGAAATGCAACACCCATGTGTGAAAGTTAACGCTTCTAATGTTGTGCCATCACACAGAGACTGCAACCTACTTTTGTTGTCTTGAGTTCAACACTTTAGCTGCATTGAATGATCAATATCCCTTTCCACAACCATATGTAAAAAAGGAAGCTATGAGCCAAACTAGTCTACAGAAAGGACCATCTTATTTAAAACAGAAATTAGTGCTTAGGTCCAAAATTCCGCAATCTAAGCTAACTTACTCCAGGTTTTTCTGGGTTAACACTTGCCAAGATTACCACTTGGCAACCTCCTGCTTGTCACTGGCTAAACTTTCTCATAATCTGAATCTGCATGACAATATAGGCCAAAAAAGCAGATCAACAAAGAAATCTATAGTTAATTTTTTCTGCTCTCTGTAGTGCCCACTGGACTCCCTTTTCCCTACAACTTCTACCCAAGAAACTTTTTCCTTCTGCAACTGCAGCCCTGCTATCAAGAATGCATCCTTACCTGCCAGTGTCCTTCAAGGGGAGAAGGGTAGTGAAGGGCATAGAGGGAATTATAAAGGAGTCAGGAAGATTGAGTAGCAGAGGACAAGGAAGTGGGAAAGCACTAAATATTCCCAGACATCAACCTGCAGCATGGGCTGCACCCTGGTCCCTTAGTCAGCTATGCCAGAGCACTTTTATAATACAAAACTTAAGCTATTTTTTCTTCACACTGCAAAGAACTGAGGATCCTTTCTCACCATCCAACAAGATGTCCATAGACACAGCAAACACACTCTATCTGGCGTATTTTAATACATACAAGCTGTGCATAATGTATCTATTTTAGTAAAATATACTATTGAAGATACAGGCACTGGGAGTAATAGAAGAGCAAGTTAACTAGAGGTCAACACACTACTGAAGATGCGTAAAACAGAGAAAGTTCCTTTTCCATAAAATCCTTGGAGAAAAAAAAAAAAAGAATTACAGTCCTCATTTATGGCAATCTAGGAATGGTTCCCAGTGACCAGAGGGCATCTGAGGTAAGTATGACCTGGCTGCTCCAGCCTGTGTCTGCACATGACTGAATACTGTCAAAAGCTAAACAACTCCGTCTGCCTCTTAGCCTTCTGTTTGCTTGTTTTTCAGCGTGCATTTCTGTAATACCTTTGTCAATACCAAAGTATTCCTCATGTGGCTGAAGTGCAATAAATCATGAATGGCATGACATCAGCATCATGTCACAGTGACGCTGGTTCTACGTATATATTAATTCCTTAAAGGTTAATAACTTCTCCATAAATAATGAAATAACTCACTTCCCTAGGCACCACAGCAGCAAAACCTGCTTTCAGGACTCTGCCAAGCCAACTGTCCAACAGAAGGTGGAGCAGAACCATCTCTTCTGTACTTGGGAGAATCGTGTTAAAGCTCCTTCTCTCATTCTCTTCCACGTATTATGATCAACTTTTTCTCTACAAGTTCAAGAGACCAATCTGTACTCCCTGCCCTCTTTCCAAGATGAATTTTTTTATTTATTTCTACTCACATCCTAAAGCAGAACAGGAAGAAAAGGAATTCTTCCATAACACTGAAGCCGAAACCTAGACTCACAGGATGCAGAAGCATCTATGGTAATTACCTTGTCTGTGAGGGAGAGCAACCAAGAGAGAGAACGAGGATCACACCTACATAACCTTGGTCGTGCTGCTGCCTCACTGGGCACGACAGACTGCATCCAGGCTGTATGAGTTAGCCCAGATCAGAAAGCAGGTTACAGCAAAGCACACTCCTGCACCAACACACCACCACTTTCTGGTCCCTGCTGTCTTGGTGTAACACAGGCATGGTGCTCCTTGGACACCTTGAGCCCTAATGTGCTGCGCATATTTACATGTTCTTATAATGCACAACAGCAGGACCAGGCAAGAAAGGATCCAGCTGCCCCTTGGCACATGACAGTGTCACCTGAGCAGATGAAATGCGCAGAACCTAGAGCGGGGCAGAGGGGTGTGTGTTTACACACATTACATGGGATATCATGTAATGATAGAAGCAGATCCCAGATCCTAGTGTAAGCTCACAGCTGACAGCCAACTGCACCTGAACAGCACAGACACAACAAAGTTGGGCTCCAGCCAATATTTCAAGTGGAGCGCACAGATTAGGTGTCCCCACCAGGCTTTCACCAGTGAAGTACATCTCCTACATGATGCAAATCCTGCCTTGGGTGTTTCACGGGAGCGGCAGCGGTTCCAACGCGCTCAAGGCCCTCTAAGCACACAGTAGTAGCTTCGCACCATGACCCAGTTACCAAATCTGGGCAGACAGCTTTAAAGAAAGCTTAGAAGGACCAGGTTGTTCCAGGATCTTAACTTACTTTACAAAAACACATTGTGGGCCATGAATTAGGTGTGGTCACTACTAGTATTTGCTGCTCTGTGCTCTGCGTAGAATGACACCACATCTAAACTGGTATTTCATGGCAGCACATGCAGCTTATCACAAGGTTCAGAAAAGCTCTGCTGATACTCAGAGCTACAGGGAAAAAATGTAAGTGGAGAAAAAAACCTCTAAAGCCACATCCACTTTCCTTTCAATCTGTTAGCCTAATCTAGTTTTACAAAAGTGTAATATGAAATAGCTGTCCTCTCAGGCCTTTGCTGATCAACAGACAGGTTAGTATCATTCAGGTGAGTGCCCAGAGCTAGGACATCCAGCTGTCCAAGCTGCAACCACAGCCATAGTTTGACAGGACAATCTAAGCTGCAAGTTTCAAAACAAGAGTGATGGCAGAAAAGAGACTTCTTCATAACCTCTCTGTCAAAGACA